AGACGGAACTGTACTTGCCTGCAGTTGATGGCGTGTGGTGCCAAGAACTGCCAAGAGTCTAGAGCGTGCAGGTCATTGTGGAAGGAGACCATAAGTGCATCCAAAATCCTTCGCACATACGGTGTGCCCGAACTATTTATCTCGAACATCCACGGCTTGCTGTCTCGGTCGATTACTCACATCACGAGAAGGTCTGGTTCTGTATGGCTCGGGATGTGTTCCCATATTGTACAGTAAGCCGCAGCCTTTGAGCAGTAAATCGGGTCGGATTAACACAGCAGTTACTCGGCCCGGTTTGGCCGATCGCCTCCTAGGAAGACTACAAGGCTGCAGCCCGTCCCCTGAGGCCAGTTTGTTAAAGAACCTTGCCTTTACAGTTGACCAGGCTTTCTCACCAATTGAGATACGTGTAATCCTCGAGGCCCAAAATCAGACATCCGAGATGTCACCGATTACGGAAAGAAATGGGGGTGGAAAACTTTCCTCTTCGAGGCCAGAACCATGGCCTCAGTCGGAAAACTGAACTTCTATACAGAGACTAAGAGCAGAACCTCGAGTCCTTAATCTTATGAAGCCCCCGGAAAGCAGCAATTTCCAGAAATCTCCGAGGCCGCGGACATCACTTACAGAACAGGCCTCAAACGATGCTTCCTGGGGGGTAGCCCATTCTTTCTGCCTTTTAAGGAATAACAGGCCGACCGGCAGGGGGGGCGGTGAGGTGGGGCGCAACAGGCCAACATTTTTTTTTGCAATCCGTCGGCCCTGGCAACCCTTGTTCCTGGCCCGGCACGAGCTGTCACGAGCTATTTCCACGACCCCCAAAATACACATGAAACCAAAAATGTAGTGCGTAACTTGTTTCTGAGGCAGGCTGGGTGCAACCTGGAAGACGGAGCCCGTGACTTGGACCCCGCTCCCACAGACTTCAAAATTGGAGCGGGAATCTGTTGGCATGATCATGGGCGTGCTTCAGGCGAAATCGATTTTTTGCCTCTTCGCCGAGACACTGTTGGATGCTCAAACCCTGTGCGGACTGCCGGCAAGTGACTGTTTTTTGGTTGAACACACAAGTTGGAACAGGGCAGCGGCCCGGACCGTCCGACAGAGCCGGGGCCCGTGGTGAATTAAACTTTTTGGCATGCTCGGCTGTCAGCTCGTGTCCTCTGATCTGGTAAGGCCATCGACAAGAGCCACTCTCAAAAAAGGTGGGGGCCACACGAATCCAACCGTGAACAGCCCTCGCAGCTATAGCAGATGTATGTCAGCCTGGAGTGCGATTCATGTTCTGGGAGGTCCAGCATCAAAATCCGCTCCAGCGCAGGGCTGAGAGCTGCGGGCCCCTGCGCGCAACTACGAGATGCGTTTTTGATCGTTTTTGCTCCACTTGTTTCTCTCCGTAAGGAGCTCGCAGCTGTAAAGCCGCCAACAGAGAAGCGGCCTGCAGGCTTTTGCGCTTTTGCACGGTGCAATTCTCACTGTTGCGAATTTTCTCGGTCAAATCCATATTTGCGGCCCATCGCTCCATTTTGCTGGAGGAAAGTCAAAAACTCCGTCCTTCGGGGGAGAGTTGAGGCTACCTTTGCTGGCACAAGCGGGCCCGCTTGACACACACTTCTGTGCAGTTTTGACATCGTCAGGCGGCTAGCGGCTGCAAGCGAAGAGGCCTGAGTTACTGCCCCTCCCTCACTCGCTGACATCCTCTGATCCTTCCCCCTCTCCGGCAAAACCACGAATGCGCACATCCCTTCTTCGAGTTGGGTGCCCCTTTCGCTATCTTGGATGGAGGAGGAGCGCAAACCCCACCAAGGCAACCTCCCCTCCCATTGTATGCTTGGGGGTGGCCGTCAATGCTAGAAGTTGCCACGCTTATTTGCCAGCTCGAGGGTGTAAGGTTTAGGGCGAGGGGAAAGGTACGGACTTAGAGCGACGACCCTCTTCCTCAGGGCAAGTTCACGCCACCTGGGTCCGTGCGCGGATCGGCCAGCGAGGCAAAGACGCTCGGGCCTCAGGCTACATGCTGCCCCAAGTTTAGTGCGCGAATATGGCGAACCATGTTCTGGCATCTTGAGCCAGAAGTCGTATTGTCTGGCGGGTATTGAGGATATTGTGGGAACAAAAGAAGCACATGTTTTTTTTGCACATGCTCTTGTTTAACTGAAATCTTTGCCGCCCCGACTGAACCCGATACATCGATTTTGTTTGGGTTTTTTGAGCTGGGAGTGCTGGACCAAGAAGAGAAGAAATAATTTTGAAAACAGGCATCATGTAGCTTGAAGCCTAATGACTGCTTCCATGACGTCCCAAGAAAAGAAGCCTCCGTATCCGCACCCCACAGGACCACATTCAGCGCGATGCCTTGGAGAGCACGCGAGAGGGAAAGAGACAGAGAAGTTCGCTGAGGTGGTGGTTTCAGTCGCACAAGTTACCTCCAGGCTCGGCACTGGCCTGCCGTCAACTTTTGACACGAAGTATCACAAGTGTCACATCGTTACTGCGTTTATTCAGGCATGAAATCCGTGCGAGATGTTGCATCACGAGTTATTCAGTCTGATGCAGCGGGTTGGCACAGATTTCGAGTTCCGTATCGAGAAGCATTGATTGGAAATCAGCTTCAAGATGTCAGACGCCATTTTGGTTATCAGATACCAGTTTGTGGTAAACGCCTACACTGCGCAGTGTCTCCAAAGAGCGTATAGCAGAAGCTTTGGGCTCCACGGACACCAGAGTCGACAACTTCATCGACAAAATCGTGTCCTCGACAGCATTGGGAGCCAATGCTGCCGCCGAGAACGAACACCTCAGCAAGACATCGGAACTTTTCCATACTCCAAAAATATGTGCATGTTGTTTTAAATCTTTGGCATCGGCTTTCCGGAATCTGTGTTTGCAGTTGTGTCGCCACTTCGTCACTAGTCACAAGGCACGCTCAGGATACGGACAGAATGCTTCAAGCATGAGCTCGCCTGACAACCCATCCCAGATGAAATGCAATCCAGAGCTGTCGTTTGTGCAGGTTGCAGGTCATGTTCTAGGTCGCAAACCTCGAACCCTTTAAGGAGTCACTAGCTTGCTGCTTGCCAGTCACAGACATGCAGAGCGATCGGCGTTCATCCCGGAAGCTGGCCACTTACAGTTTTTTGCCATCCATCGGCGTGACGTCTTGCGCAGCGATGGCATCTTTTGAAGTCCGATTACACAGGTCTTCGTGTCTGCCGCAAATATGTGCGCGTGAGACTCCAAGCAAGGCACGCGTTGCAAACCTTGCACCAGGTTTTTGTTGTTTCACTGTGCACAGTGTGGAAGCCATGCGCCAGGCCTTCTTTCCTCAGGCATTTCCCAGCCACTGCGGCTCGGCAGCCGACACATCCTGGCCACATGTTGAAGCTTTGGTCCTTGCATTGCGGTGACAGGCCCCATCGCTCATTTCGGCCAGCGGCCGCTTGCTCCTGGAGCTCACCTTTCTTGTCGAGTTTGGCGGATGTACAGCTACGTTGGACTGGGAGTGTCATATCCAGGGTGATGTTTTTGCGGAGAGGAGAGAGCGTCGGGATGCTTCCGGCCTTGCACCAGCCTCAGCAGGGTTGTTTGCAGATGCCAGGGCCGAAGTTATGCTGTGGGAGCGGGGCATTCAGGATCCCGGAGGAGGAGCCGTTGCACCTGCCCCCTATCCAGCAGGCAGCTTGTCCCAACTTAGGTTCCTGTTGACAAGGTGAGAAAAATGCAACTTCGACCCATTCATACCCATTCCGCGGTTGAAAGCTCCTGGAGGCCGTCGTTCCTATCCATGGCCAGAGCACAAAGCCTGGAGAGGAGGTTCGGTTTAGAGGCCACGGCCCGCCTCTCCTCCAGCTGATGACAGGATGCAGCTCCTGCCGCGGTGAACTACATCCGAGCCTGCCATAGGCAGGAGCCACTGTTCAGTGAATTCAGATGTTGCCAATGATGGGAAGATGTGGGGGGGGGGGGGGGGGTCGGGGCCTCGGAAGGGAACAGATATTGCCAGTGCCTTCAACTTTCGTTGGGCACTGAGACGTTGCAGACGCTTTGCACATTTCAAGCTCCCACGCTTCGGATAAGCTAAAGCCTTCAGACCTGAGATCTAGTGCGCGCCCACACCTTGGTTCATTGAGTGTGCAGTGTGCATGGTAGTTGGCGGACCAGCTCGAGCGTGAGCTGAGACTCTTTTGCTCAATTCGACTTATGCATGATGCTCGAGTTTTCAATCAACTTGGCCACTTCACAAAACCACTGTACTGTACCAGCTGCCGGCAAGCGGATCTTTTTGTTGTGACATTCTTTGTGGCGGCCTCTGCTCTGACCCGATAACTCTCATTGTCCTTGAGCCCACCCGCCCAGGTTACCGGGCACTCACGCAAGGTTGACGCCGTTGCCAAGGCGTCACCGCATCACTTGTCGTTCCACACAGCTGGGCAAAAGTGCCACAAGACTTCGGACGGAGGCAAGCACCGATGCAGAGGTGCTGACTCTTTGCGCAGTGGGCGCCGACCTCGGGTCCGTGTGGTGAAGCGTGCCTTGAAGTACCGATCCTGTGTCATTGATGCAAAACATGACAGGTCGCTTAGCCGAGGTTGAGGCTGGGCCGTGACATGAATTGGTGGGCTGCGGCTGGCTGGGTTGTTGGAAGCTTTCTGTAGATCAGGATGTCGACCTTTCCAGCAAGCTCCTCTCTGATGCCACCATTGCCCGGTTCTGCCAGGCCAGGTGGAGAGAGGGCATTGTCTTTTGGTATGCTTTGGTCACAGCAGTCATGATGAGGACGTGCTCCTGGCAGATCAAAACCTCCACTCGCTTCAGAGGCCGTTTCTGTTCCGTCCGTTCAATGTACAGCTCCATACTGGCCTCGCATGAATGTCCGGGAATGCCCTCAACAGAAGTGCCGATGGATTACTTTGGCTGGGTCCACAAGAAGTATTCCTCGCACGAGCAACGACGGAATTGGAGCACCATTTGAGATTCCAGGCTGAGCCTAAAGGAGTCCCATGCCGCCAGACAGTCGCAGGCCGCATTGATCAGGCGGGGCTTCTTGGCACTGGCATCCGAGTGGGAGGGACACGCCTCCCAGGCTGCTTCAGAAAGATGGGGCGACGAGCCTCCGCTTCCTCGACCTTAGCGGGGTGGCTTTGCGCATCATTTCAGCGCAGCACTCCGCGCTTCTTTATGAAGCTTATCCTGCTGACAACTTGCGATTTCTGATTTCAGCTTTGCTTTTGCAGACCCGCACAGCTTCTTCAGGTTTCGATGAGTATGCGGACCTTGCGACTTTTTTGCGAAGCTGCCGCAGCATCAGTCTCCTTGGTGCTGCGCACAAGAGATTTTGTAGCGAGACAAGCATTGGTGCAGGTCGAGGCACACCCATCGCTTAGCACCCTCAAGCTCAGCAACACCGGGCCACAAGCTCAGATTCTGGGCCTTCAGGACTTCTTTGACCGAAATTCCTTGCGAGGCTGGGCGGCGCCATCGACATCAAGCCCTGCCTTGCGCAAGTACTTCGCAACCGCAGCCTCCAGGCAGGATCGCTTCACAAGCTGCGCAAACTGCAACCTGAAGTGCGAGTTTGAATGCGCTGTTGGCATTTGAAATCGGAAAATTGCGGAAGAACATAAACACCTTGGCAGACCTGCCGGTGTGCTTGCAGAACGCAGCACTTTTTGCGTGCGTGCATTGTCCACGCTGGAATAAGAAGCTTTCTTTGTCGCAGGGTGATGGAAGATTTGGAAGCGTACCTGTTTGATTTGCTGTCATGCGAAGTAAATTCGCGTGGCAGGTCGGGTTGGGTGTCTGCCATTATCAGGTGGAACATGAGGAGAAAAAAAAACTAACCATTTTTCAAAGGGAAGAAGGCAGCCTTGAATGACCCAAACAGCCAGACTGACACATTCGAGTCGTCGGTGCTACATTTACATTTGAGACGCATCCCGGCGGAACAATGAGCCACTGTATGAAGGACAACACGCAAAGGCAGATGCAGCGGAACCGTGCTAGAATCGCACTCCTGACAGGGTCATGACTGTCATGAATCGGAGGCGCATAAAGTGGAGAACCTTGCTCTGGAGATTAAAAGCAAGCACGGTGGAGAACTTCACTCGCAACCAAACATGAACCTTGCTTCTTTGGCAAGGTGCTCGACTTGGGCTGGAATTGTTTCCCAGCAGAGGACCTGCACCCACAAGCCGACATTAGGCACCTTCCTATGATACACGAGAGGGCATACTGAGAGCGCGATCACCGACTTGAAAGTGAGAATGATACTGTACAGTTCTGGGAGATTCAGGAGCTGAATTTTCTTGGGGAGCTCATTGCAAAGAACAGAACCGCATGGGCCTTGCTATAGTGACTTGCATGCTAACAAGCGCCTAGTGACTGCTTGACAAGCATTGAGCTGAGGTGAGGCATTTGGGTTTGGCCAATTGTGCATCAAGCAGCCAGAAGAACCACAGCATCTCCCCTTGCGTGTGCGCAAGCCTACGTTGGGCAGTCCGTAAGTTGGGAGCACCACCTTTGTTGGCACCAGGTACTTCTTGGAACAGCTCGTCCATGGGACGTTGCTGAGCAGCCTGGACATTTCCATGAACCGCCTGGATTTTCGCGGGGCGTCAACAGCCCAGTTGCTCTGACAAGTTTCTTCCGGCGCGTCGTCGGGTGCCTTTTGACCAGCTCAGGCTGATCATCGAGGATGCCTTGGAGCAAAGCAGGACGCTGCTGCCGCATGAATTACGTTTTCAGGTGGTGTGAAGGTCCGAAACACAAAGCTGGGCAGGAAACTCACCAAGCTGACCATGTCGCACAACCCCTTGGGCGTCATGGGTCTGCACGTTCCTCAGGTCGCACAAAACAGCTCAGCTCTCTCATGTTGAGAAGCGCAGACGATCGACCTCTCAAAGCCTTGATTGCATTGCCAGGAAGGAGTACTGAAAGCAGCACCATGTAGCACGCATGTCTCGAATGTATCGTGGCCACCCTCTGCCGTAGGCACTGTAGGCAATCCCATCATCGGTTTGGGCAAGCCAAACCTTCCAAGGCGGTGCCTTCTGCGGCTGCTTGCAAGACCCCATTCTGGCCTCGTCGCCTTCGACATCGAGAACTGTATCTTGGACAGAGTTGATCTGGGAGCTCTTTCTTCGCAGGCTCACAAAACTGAACGACTAGTTAAACGACCCGAGGCTTCAAAGGGGAAATCCTTGCTTCTGTGGAAGGAATCCAGGCTGTGCCGGGGTTGTTCACACCGCAAGATCCAAAAGCAAGTGAGATGATCGGAGGTGTTTACATACACGAATCCCGGCGGCCACTACAGCTTGGACTTGGAGAGGACACAGCATGCCGCAGCTGTGTGCAAACTGTTGCAACCTGTTCCTGTCTTTCATTTTCTGTTCCACGATGTTCCACGGTGCACTTGCGAGGCCATATCACAGGTCTCTTCTTCGCACACTGTACAAGCAACTCACTTCGCACTCAGGTCACCTGTGAGAGTGGCGTTTTCATATGCATGCTTCAATTGCCTCTGAATCCAAGCGGAGTCCTCTGAGGGTTGGGGAGCGGTTCCAGCTGAAGCCGGTCTGGTGCCTAGGGCATCAGAGCTCTCGCCAAAAAAGTCGGTCAAGTACTCTTTTGCCACATGTTTGACAAGATTCGTCGGTGAAAGGCAGACACTTTTTCCAATGTGCTCTTCAACCCTGGTGCGTTTGCACTACCCTCGCAGCCGGCGCCTCTGATGTGATTTTGTCTTCGCCTTTCCTTCGTTCTTCAAGAGTGATGGATAGTGCCCAAGGCGTGACGCAAGTGGAGTGTGGCCGGTACCAACATCAGGCCTGACAAGTCCTTCATGTGCTGTGTTGTTGCTGGATTACGACGTGGAGTTGCACCCAGGGCATCTAGAGGTCAGCTTCAGCATCGAGAAGGCGTGATGAGGGGTGACATTTGACTTTATGACTCTATGGGCCAGGCAAAGATGCCATACTGCAGACATGGAAGTGGCCATGATCATCGAGAGACTTATACTCATGTCCCATGCACTCATCCCGCGACGATGCGCATCTACTTGTTGCAGGCAATGCAGCAAGCCGTGCGCGGTGTCGCCGAGGCAAGACTATCACCACGCGCAGCGCGCATGTTCCACAGTTGCCGCATCGTGCTCGGATTGTGATGAAGCTATGCCTTTTGGGCCTTGCCTTGCAGGACAACTTTGGCGAGGTTCTTGTCCGGTACAATGAGGCCTCATTGCCTCACACGTGCTCGATGAGTTCTCTGACTTGCTCTGCCTTCGAGGTCATGCGCTTTACGCCGCATTTCCGCAAGCTCATCCCACTTCTTGCCCAGTACTGCCCCCAAACGCGCATAACGCACCGACTCGTTGTGTCTCTCGAAGACTGAGTCATTGAGGTGGAGGCTGCTGGATGGGCATGAGCAGGACAACGTGGCCTTGCTCCGTCTGGGTGCCATCGATGTTTGCTTCCTTGTGGCGACCAGCAGTAGTCCGTCGATTCCCTTGGATGCTTCAATGAACACGAAAGTGGAAGCGGTGGAAAGGAGCAGCTGGCGATGCTGGCAGCGCTGAGCCGAGCCGTGGCCTCGTTCTTCCTTATTGGACGCACGCATCCTCTTTTTTCTCTCTTGAGCATCGTAGTTTCCAGAGTGGCTTGAGGACTTCATCTTCACGGCCACTCACCTGCGTCAGCTCTGTGCCAGCCGATCCATGGTGGGCGACAGCCTCAAAGAGTATAGCACGGAGTTTAGCCTGCGCACCCAATAAGAACGGAAAACCAAGCTTCGGATGTCTAGGTACGACGGTGGCCCGTCTGCTTCCAACCCTGGTTGGAGGGAAGTTTTCGCGCAGCATGGTCGGCCTGCCGAAGTTGGAGTTGCTCAGCTCGGAGCAGTGGCAAAGCCTGACTGTGAGAACACAATAGAACAACTCTACCAAAAGGGTGCGCCATGTAAGCTAAAACAGATTTTATGCTAAAACGGATTGCACGAGTTTTGCATATTTTTTTTGCCTTGCGGGGTTTTCAACACCACTCACATGAGGGCCTGGTTAGCAGGTGCATACCTGGAAAGAGCCGATTCATGGTGCCTCTATGTTGAATGCTGTGGAAAGGCCCCTAGATGATTGTGACAGGTCTTGCGCTGCGTCGACAATCTGAGCGAGTTCGTGAAGATGCTGACCTTGTGCAAGGAATGGGCTTCAGATGAATATGACGCATGCCGTAGGACAAGGATCGAGAGCGTTGCCGTGCCTGCTAGGCATGCGCTGCTTGCCTGTCATATTTTCACGTTTGCGCTCATGAATTCTGCCCAAGTATGCCATTGTGAATCAGGCTTCCAGCACAAAGCGACCATTAAAATGTGAGGAAGGTAGGAGTGGGTTTTGCTGATTGACGAAGTCATGCTCTACGTGAGGGCGCGCATGATTGCTGCAATCTGTAGGCGCTTAGATACGTCGCAATCTCAAAATGCCTTGTCATTGTTGGGGCTCCCCGCAAATGCAGAGGTTTGAGCATGTTCGACGCATGTTCCAGCCGGTGGGTCCATCGAGCGGCGCTCCAACGGACCAAACGGTGCAAACGCTGCCCCGAAATCGCTGGAAGTGAAGCGAACATTTGTCTGGCTTCCGCAAGTATTGCAACCCGGCGTGGGGCCGGAGATGGAGTCAGTCAGAAATTCGTTTCTCCCATCGAGAATGTGTTGGAATCAGTGAACATATGTCACATTCCAAAGCAGCCGGGGGAACTCTTGGCCACGCATGTTGTCCTATACTCCTGCAAAAAGCAGGGATCCTTGGACATGGCTTCACGGATATAGCATACTCCCTGCAGTGTGGAGGTCCTTGGTTATGACCTCAGGTGGAGCAACCCTTTTTTTCTGAAAGAGACGCTGCCTGCGCAGATAAAAACCACAACAAACTACAAAGGAACCAGGCCACAAGGAAAATCAGGTACTGGCCCAGAACGGGCAACACCTTTCTTTGTGAAGTGGATTGCTTTGCTCAGTCTGGGTCACAAACAAACATGCGTGATATTTTGTCTTTTGGGCGACGGAGTTTCAGGGCCAAAATGCAGTATCAAGGCAAGACTTGTTGAATTGAATGATTATTCGTGACATGAGTTGAATGCCGCATCTGGTTGTGGCTTACCGTCAGGCATGCGGTGCACATAAAGACCTCTCCATCACAATGGATAGCAGCCGTGACATTCAGAGTGCTCTTCACGTTTGATCCTCTGACACGTGGCCATGGTGTGGCTTGCCGCTGTGTCGGTCCTTATATGCTGTGCAGGTGCTGCAGCAAGGATCGTGCATGTGAAGATGGGCTGGGAAACTGGCTCTGTGGACTCCGGCTTGGTGGTTCCACTCAAGCCATCCTTTTCTATTAACGGTGATGGCTGGGTGCCTGGGAAAGATCCCTACAAAGAGTATTGCCAGCCAAATCCAGCATCGAACTCAAATTGCTGGCCAGAGTCGATTAATGAGACAAATGTAAACGGTGGTCGCAGCATCCACAGCTTGACAGTGGAGAAAGTCTCCTGGGCACGTGAAGGCGAGCATGTCTTGAAGATCTATGCTGATGGGAGGAACTATGGGACCAACGGCGACTATGCCTTCCGTGCTGAGCTCAGCGCAGTGCAGGACGAGTACGTCTTTCTGCCTGGGGACTATCATCTCTTCTCAATGTCTTTCTGGCCAGATGGCACCACGTGGGACAGGGTGACGAAGTACAGCGGCCTACTCATGCAATGGAAAATGTCCCCAGGCTTTCCGCACGGAGCGCTGCGGTTGAGCAACATGGGTGACTACAAGCTCTATTTCCGTGGCTATGACCTGTGGCCAGTTGGGGATGGAGGAGGCAATGGCCGGCAGATCGGCTATGCCAGGCGTGATGCATGGAATGACGTCAAGTTTTTCTACAAGAAATCGATCAATAGTGATGGGGTGGTCAGGGTTTGGCTGAGCGGAAAGTTGGTATTCGAGCACTTCGGCAAGAACTTGCTGAAGACTACGGAGAGAGGCTACACCAAGTTTGGCCAGTACACAGAGATCCGGGACGAGCGCGTTGTCTACTATGGAGTTCTGCCACGGGCCGAGCTATACTGAATGCCTCGACAAGATGGGATTTCCAAGCCTGGACAGCTGGGTACAACAGGGGCAAGACCAACCTACGGTGAGACTGGAGGTTCCAGTGAACGGGGCCGCCATTGCTGCGTCGGCCAGTGGACCGGTAGGGGCTTTAACTTTGCGGGCAAGCGCGGTTGATCTTGAGGGTGTGAAGTACGCTACGCCAGGAGCGATGCACAGCGTGGAGTTCTTTGCTGGGAATTGCTCACTTGGGCAAGACATGGGCAACAAAGGTAGCTTCAGTGTGACCACCAGCTTACTGGCAGAGAATGGCACCTACTCTTTGACCGCGGTGGCAACGGATGTTGATGGGAATCGAGTGACATCTGATGCAGTCCTGATCCATGTTGGGAATCGGCCGCCTGTGGTGGCTTTTGTGTCTCCAGCACCTGGTGACAACGTGGAGTCAGGAAGCATCGAGTTGGTGGCAAATGCCACGGATGCAGATGGCTCCGTCAGCAAAGTGGAGTTCTTCTTAGAGGGCACAAGTCTTGGCATCGCAGATCCTAGCAATGGATCTCCAACATACAAGATCAACTGGACCCCGCTAGCGAATGGCCCAAGCTTACTGACGGTGATTGCCACTGATGATGGGGGCACATCAGCCAATGCTGTTGTGGGCATCACCATTGGTGCGACGCTGACCACATCCCCGCTGCCGGCGACACAGGATGCCACGATTCGGGAAAGTAGCCCTTCTGCCAACTCGAACTGGGCAGACAATGAGGTCTACGGCAAGCCTGGTGGCCGCAACGTGGCAATTCATCAGTTTGACATGGCTGCTCCAAAGGCGCTGCAGCATGAGCTGCGCAGTGCAGCCTTGAAGCTGTACGCCACTGGTGAGAGGAATCTTCCTGGTCGGTTTGCAGTTTATGGCACCAGTGGAACAGAGAATGCAAATTGGCAAGAGGCCACTGTCACTTGGTCGACTGCTCCTGTCCGGGGCAGCAAGGTTTCCACAGAGGTCATTGCCAGCAAAGGCAGGTGGTTCAGCTGGGATGTCACCCAGTATGTTGCAAAGCAATGGGCATCCGCTGAAGACTTGATCACTTTTTGGCTGGAAGACGATGAGCTTGACTGGAACAAGGTGACTTTCGAGAGCCGACGAGAGGGGAATGCCAACCCACCAGAGCTGATTGTCGTGACGTCCAGCATGGCTGCGCCGGCAAGCACGAGCCTTGCTCGCTCAGCCCCGGATTGCTCAGTCGAATCTGCCCCGGAAGCAGACCTGATGCCTGAGCCTGAGGTGGGGACCTCCACATCCACGACTAGCGTGACCACCACGACAGTCATGACAACGACTTCGGACCCTTCGACGACTTGTGGTATTATGAACACCACCCAGGTGATGCCCAGTGCAGACACCTCACTGCAAGAAGGCAGTCCATCCTCCTCTGGCAACTGGGGCAACATCGAGGTGTATGGTAAGCCGGGAAACAAGATGATTGTCGCATTGCTCAGGTTCAACCTTCCATCTACCACGGCACCGATTCAGATGGCTGTCTTGAAGCTGTATTGCGTGGTCGCCCGCAATGTGCCGGGACTGGTGACCATCTTTTCTGCTGGTAATGACTGGGATGAGGCATCTGTGAATTGGAACACTCGGCCAGCTCGGGGGACGAAAGTTGCAAGCTTCACGGTTACCAGCCTGTCGGAGGATCACTACACAGGTGATGGGGAGGCTGTCGGCTACTACAAAGTTGACGTCACCGATTTGGTGCTGGAGACGAAGGCGGCAAGTGAGAGCACATTAACATTCTGGTTGGAGGATGAGGCTTTAGAGTACCTGGCACTGAAGTTCGAATCCCGCCGCGACGACAAGGCTTTTCCACCCTTGCTAGAGATAGCCACAGGCGAGGCCTGCAGCATAACGTTGTCAGGCCACCTGCAAGTGTCTGTTCCAAACATCTTGGCATTCCTTGCCGATGACGTTGCCAAGAAAGCCGTTTGCGACGGCATCGAGGCACAGTGTGGGGCCCCTGTCGCGTCCGTGACCTGTACCTTCTCTGAGGCCACGGCTGCTAAAAGTCTACTTTAGCACACTATCATATGCTGTAGTCTTCGACAGTACAAATTCTTGCACATTCTCTACTATAATCGTGATATAAATTGTATAAAAGAATATCCCTCCCTGAAGGCCATGGCTGGAGACCTCTTTGTGGGCTACGCGGTTGACCTGCCGTCCTCGACGGGAGCTGCAGCGCAGAGCCGCGTCACAGCACTCCTGGAGGCGATGACCGCTGCTGAGGCGGCTGTAGGAACTGTAGTATATCATAGAATCATATATACTACAGATTGCAATAGTATACAAATGCCTGTAGTGCATTCTCGGGGCTATTTAGGAAGCCAAGTACGGGGTGTTTTTCTTTGGTGGAGTCGCGTGAGTCCATGGCTCAGGTGGAGGCCACCGTGGCCACGAAGATGACCGAAGCTAAGGCCGCAAACGCGGCCGACTTCCAAGTTTTCGTGGTGGAGAAGCTGGAGGGCAACCCAGCTGAGCTGGAGGCCACTGAGACTGAGACCACAAGCAAGGAGGTTGCGAGTACCTCAAGCAAGGAGGTTGCGAGTACCTCAAGCAAGGAGGTTGCGAGTACCTCAAGCACCACCGATGAGTTGCAGGGTGGTAGCAGCGCAGCAGGCCCCATCTTGGGACGACTTGCAATGCTGATCTTGGCTTGCCTGCTGGGGGCTGCTGATGCCACGTGAGCACCGTGCAGCGCTTGCCTCTTTCGCACAATGATTTTTTTTTGTGTGCTGCAATTGCACCACTGTTTCAAAAGTAGAGCACGCGCCCTCCAAAACGGAGAATGTGTGACGCCCTCAGCAGTAGCATTTGTCACTGAGGACTGCTGAGGTTGCGCCTAGTGCAACCAACCATCCGGGCAACCTACAATTCGCAAGCGAGTGTTTTGGTGCATATGTCATGTTGCATGTGTTCACATTTTTTGCTTCGTAAATTCGAGATCTGGCGCATTGTAAACGAAAGGAGTATCTGCTGTTCAACCCGGACAGTCCGACAGGCGCGGGCAGCACTTTGGACCTTGTGGTTTTTGGGGGCTTGGGTTTGCACATGTTTAGCCTATAGAGACCGACCCTGAAGTGGCGTATCCGTGCTCTCCGGAGGGCATTACAAGCTGGACTTGGGCAACCCGGCTGCTGCCTACGTGGCCCAGGTCCCGAACCCATGAGCCCCAGAGCTTGCAGCGCTTGTGGAAGAATGGCCCGTGGATGCAGCGGCCTGTGCAGGCGCTCGCCTTGCTCGACCGATGGGAATCAGGCAAAGCAGTGCAAAAGCAGTGCAAAAGCTGTCTCATGGTCCGGGAGTCCGCTGTGCGTGGATGCTTGGCGGATAAGAGGCATCGCCAAAAGAAAAGAAGTGTCCCCCGCCTTGGCTTACCATTGCCTAACCACGATATCATGCCAAGGATGACAATCGCCTCTTGAGCTGTGAGGCCAGACATCTCCGAAGATGGAGATTATTCGTGCGTCAGGAACTGCAGGCCACCTGCGACTACGTGAGTTTTTCTTCGTCGTGAGGAACGTTGAGCCACTTGATCCGAGGTATGCCCATCAGTCACTGAGATCGTGGGGTCTGCAAAGTTGCTCGCCAGGAAGCGAGGGATGACAGCGCGGCGTGAGTGTTTCTACAGGGCCTGCACCCGTTCCAAGGCTTTGATGAATGGGTTCTCCCGGAGAAAGAGGTCCGGGAGATGATGGGTGCCTTTCGGCATTGCGATGACTGTGGAGCACGTATTGTGGATTGTGGTGCAGATTCTTGAGCTGGACTATGTCACGCACCTCCGGCCCGATTGTCATGGAGAGGCCGTGGTCCTGCGTTCTGCAGTTTTGCCTCACACAGCCCTCTGGGCACGCGATTCTTTGCAGGTGATGCCCGGCGCAACCTTCACCCGGTTCCTGGCCAGACCCAGAAAGTGACACGAGATGAATTTGAGCACGCCATTCCCTTGTGCCAGACCATCCTTCAGCAAGCCGAGTGCGATGGGCCTACGCAGATCAAGGCACAGTGCTGGGTTGGCGCATGAACTGTAAGTTGGGTTGAAGAGGTCGTGCGGGGTGGTACATTCAGGTACGCGGACGTGGAGTTAGGTGGCGCGCTGCCCCTGCCAGGTTACACGGAACCTTGCTCACTACATAAACCTGACAAGTTGGCGCCTCATGTTAAGATACTTAGAGTTTTAGAAAATTGCAGAACACGTCTGTGTAGCTGGTAGTCATCAAGGTGTCCAGATGAGACAGCTGCTGGGTGCGTACCGCACCTCTGAGCTGCGGGAGGAAGCATTGGTGCGGCAGCTTGGAAATTGAGCTGAAGTGCTGACACGTGCTGTCCATACAGAGTACAGAGTACAGAAGCTCAAGAACGAGTCCTGAGTGGGCCGAGGTGACGACATTCTTTCGGATCGTTGACATTCACAACGAGAAGGTGGGAGGGAACTGTTGCGGGAACGAAGCGAACCGAGAATGTTTGCTGGCTTGTTTCAGGTTTTCCGAGTCCGGTATGAAGAGCAGTCCGAGTTCGGAACCGAGTTTCACTGCAAGCGGCACACATCCAACATAACTTTGCGTGATGGGAAAGGGCTCCTCGAACACGAACAACACCCAAGCAGCACAGGCTTTCCATTTTCCATGTCACGCGAACATGGTTTTTGCACAAGCTGGCAGTGTGCTCCGAGGCTGGACAGCTTACGGCAGCGGCTTGGCTATTGCACCTTCTTCACGTGCTCCCGGCGATACATTGCAGAGGCGGAGGGCAATCAGTCAGGTGTCATGGGGGTGGCAGGTACATTCAGCCAGAGCAGGCGCACCCCCTTGGTGAAGCTTATCAGAGTTTGAGCAGCCCCGAAAAGCGACCCGCTGAATCCGAAAACTTCCGAATAATATATCTGAATGAAAGAGGTGACCTACGATTTCGACTTCGCAAAGTACGACCAGCGCCTGGCGGCCAATCTGTTCTTTGGCCAGGTGGCCCAGGAAGGAGTCACACGAATTGAGCCGCACTTGCAAATGCATCGTTTTGCGTGCAAACCCGTGAGCATGGGCCACATGCGTGGCATGCACAATTGTACCTACGCGCGTTCGACGCCCGTCGAGAGTTCTCTCCACGCAGCTCCTGAGCTCCATTTTGGTTGCCTCGCCTGGAAAGACGGAAGATGGAAGCTGGGTTAAGACTAAGAAGGAGAATCTTCAATTGCGCCCGACTCTGCCGGACCTTTCAGGTTCACACCTGCTGGTCTGAAAAGCCGGTGGGTGCGTGAACGGATGGTATGGATGACACTCTTTTGACATGCTTTGACTGAGGTTTGGCAAACGCAGAGAAGCGGGACAACATCTCAGTCCGAAGCTTATGCGGTGATGCCATGGGCGTTGCACTGGCTTTAATATAGCCGACCCCCCCCCCAAAACAAATCTGGACCCTCTATAACTATAAAGACGTGCCGCGGAACCCCCAAACAAATTGGGGATTGGGCTGGGGAAATAAGCCTTGAAGCATAGGTGCTTGGGCTCAGTTGAAATCAGATGGACACTAAGTAAGGAAGCCCTTATCAGCATAAACCCCAAAACAGACCCTTGCAAGAAATCCTCCCCGGAACAAAAACTTGTGATAATCAGTGGGTGACCCCAACAAAGTGAGTTTGCAGAATGTGTTTTCAAAACTTGTGGTTATAGACCCCAGCTTTAGTAAAGCCAGTGCAACATTAATATTGGTCGGTGTTAGCTTTCAGCGTTGTTCAAAGTTCAATATATAAGCAAGTAAACGGATATAAGCGTGGAAGCTCCCGCAGAAGAGATACGTTGTGCATGTACTGCGAACCCTACTGCAGCAACATGAGTTGCAATAGCATGCAGTACCTATTACAACTTTCACTATATCATTTCCACCCTCAGATGAGTATTTACTTTGTGCTTGGACCTTCTGGATACCGGCCAAAAGGGGACCGAACCTCATTTCAAGGGTAGGGTTGTGAGTTCCAAAACAAGGCTTGCCCAACCCCCATGCGACCCCCAATAGAGGGTCTCCGTCCACGACGTTGGCCTGGGCCTAGTCCCGTGCTCTTGCGAAACGTCACGTCAGTTTTTGTACAAGCAGCATGCCGGAAAGTCTAATGCTGACCTCACGTTCGGCCTTATTAACGTCCAATATCGGAACAAAAACACGGCTCACAATATGTTGTGCAAGCCTGAAAGCATGCCGCAGAACTTTCGCTACACGCTTCCCGACGGCACGGTCGACAAGCTGGAGCAAGGCGTCCCCCGCAGCTGGGCACCAAGCGCTTCTTCAGTTCGCCAGTTTGCAGTGATGTGGCATGCGTGCAAGAGGTTGGGATCAGTTCGCTCGGATGCCGAAGGACGCCAGCTCGACTCCGCATGTTGACCATTGTTGACCCCATGTCGTTCACTTCTGCAGGAGGGAGTCTTTCACTTCACTTACAAGTGCTCTCCACAGGATTCACGGCCTTGCACCTGTCCACCGGTTTCCTGCGTGCACAGACAGCTTTGCTTGATGCACAGAAGCAAATTTGCCAGGACCGACGGTTTGCTCTCAGAAAATCATTACTTTTTCAGTATGGCAAGTGGAAGGCCCCTACCTAGTTCCCTCTGGTGCAAGACGTGGGAAGGAATGGAAAAGACCGTTGGTCAGGTGGATGTTGCGGAAGGCGAGGTCAACTGGTGGGCCGCTGCTGCAGAGGTCCACATGGTCAGCTGAGTGGGTCGTGATGAGAGTTTTGCCGCGTTTGACGTGGGCGCTCCATGACTCAGCAGATGTAGGCACCCGAAGATGTGCTGGAGTTCCTGTTCTGGATGCGTGCAAAGTTTCAAGACACGCAGAAGGCAGCACACGTGCCCATGCATGACCCGAAGCTAACCCAAAAACTGAGCCCATACACTATACTGTTACTTTGTTACTTTGTTCTTGCCTGTCTGGGATCTGTGTGGCATGCAGGTATTCGTCCGTGTCCATGCGGGCACGTGTCCCCATGATTGCCCCAGCTACAACTTCGAAACTGGCATGTCGAACATACCCTCATGCTTGCCTGCGCCCTCCTTAGACAACCCTTTCTCTCTTTTCAGGCGTTTGAGGCGTTTGACGGCTCTGATGGGAACGGCTTGCTGGGCTTGCGCGAATTTGAGGAGCTCGGGCGCTTGATTGCCACAAGATTTGCATGCAAATGAATTCTCGGCGGTTCGCTACAGGAGGGCATGAAACAGCTGACTCTTGGACAAGCATTGAATTGAACAGCAAGACGAGCTCCCATGTCAGCCCACGGCTCTTTCTGGTGTGCGTCAGACCGTGAGGAAGTGCCAAAAGTTCCGTGGCCGGGATGAGAAGCAGCGCTGGACGGCCGGCAATCACGGAACTATACAACCAACTTGAATCGGATCGATTTTCGGGGCTCCTAGCCAGTCCTAGCAGGCGATCTTCCGGTTTCTGGATCCCAGCGGCGAGGGCCAGGTCTGCCGATACAATGTCCAAAATCCACTCCCTCACAGCCTGTGGCGGTGGGGCATGTTTGTTGGGCAGGTATCGAAGGATGAGTTTCTGACCTTGGACAACTTCTGGGCTGAGGCCAGGGCTTTCCACTTTTCTGAAACCACAGTTCGCGATGTGCAGATCTGTCATGCGCTTTGTGCTGAAGGTGGAGTTCTCCATCAAGGAGTTCTTGGATTGGTCCAATCGAAAGCCCAGGGCTGGGATGACCATGTCACTGCCCTTAAAAGCAGCCTCAGCATTGAACCATGTCTGACACATTCTCGAAGGTATGGCAAGGACTTGCGGACTCTCTGGAACGCAGCATCCTCATTGGCGTCGCGCGCAGCAGTAGCGACCTCCCTCCCCTACTGTACTGTACTTGGGCAGAGGCGCTGGATGAGGATGAGAGCGGTGGTATCCAACGCTATGAGTGGGAGTCTGTTCTTGACAAGGCCAGGAGGGTCCGGTTCAGGCCCCGTGTGCAGCTATAGCGTGAGACCAGGTCGGATACTTCGGTCCCTCCGGGCCCATATTCAGCTACGTGGACGAGGCCGCAGTCCTGCGCTCTTGTGCCTCTGTAGGACTCTTGTGCCTCTGGTGCCCTCTGAAGTAGCATCCAGTATGGCTTGTGCCAGGACGACGGAGGGACCATCTCCTGGAACGAGCTGCGGGCTCGGTGGCATCAGTTGTGGTGAAAGCTGGTGTAGCTGGACGGAATGAGCTCAGCCACGCCCAAGCTTGGGACTGTCTTTTTCGCAGTGTGGTCCCTTGATGCCACCTAAGGTTTCAGTTGCTGCGCCGGTTTCAAGAGTCCATCTGATCGGTGGGTGTTATTGAGAGGGCACAGGTTCGAGCTTTACTAGCTCCTGAGGCCATCAGGTCAGCTTAGTTTGGGATGCCTTCATTATCCTCAAAGGATGCTTGAAGGTAGTGGGGTCCTCGTAGCAGAGGTGCAGACGCTTAAGACGTGTTTGAAAAGGGAAATGTCCAATGAGGGGGGCCGGGGCACAGCGCAAAGGCATGTATGTATTCTTGCCAACGCCTCTTGAAACAAGCGTATCCTAGCATACGATTCTTTACATCGTTTTGTCGCGTCCGTTTTCTCTTCTCCCTATCTTGAAATGTTTGCTGTAATTAGTGGGTGGCTAGGCTTTTTGTCAGCCCCCCAGCACATCAGGGCAAACAATGCGTCCTCCAATATCTGGGGAGCGGGCTGCCAGTGGCAACTGTCGAGTCGACTTGCAGCATCCCGCGCAAATAGCCTTTTGCTCGTGGACGGCTATGTGAGTCGTTGTGTTGGGAAGGTGCTGATTTGAAAGCCACTATGTCGAGACTCACCCAAAATACAATGTGAGAAACCACCGGGTTCGCCAAAGCGGCTGCCAGAACATGGCGCGGCGTCTGACAATCCCTTAGTCGTTAACACGCATGCTGCGGCGCAACCCGTGAAACTAGCTCATCTGCCAGTTGCAAGAAGAAGCCATGAGTTGGTTCAGGTCAAGCTGTCACTTTACGAGCTTAGGATGTAGGGTCAAATCAAAGGGTGCACCAGACCCTCTCACCGAGGAAAGCCATCGGGATGTTCGTGCTGTCCGGTCATGAGCTCTCCCGGCCAACTCACGACGACATAGAGGATGGTGAGTATCTCACAGTCTCCACCAAAAAAAGACGAGGGGGTTTTCCACGACGGTTAAGTGCTTGAAAGGCCTGTCAAGGTGGCAAGGGGGGAGGGCTTGAAAGGTGGCGGTGAGGGTGGGGGGGCGGGAAAGGGGGTTGAAAAGGTCTGTAAAAGGGTGGGGGGCCTGCGTTCTTTGCGGGCACCCTTGTCAAAGGGGGGGGGAGGGGGGCTCTGCGAGGGCGGCGGGCGTGGATGAGGCAGGTAGGAAATAGCATGCCACAGAGCATGTCGGAGCTTTCTCAAGCGACATATCACTGCAGGTCCTGCTGCTCCCGCCAAAAAGAAGAGCCACATCAACATCTAGGTATTCGCTTGGCGTGCGGCGTGCGACCTTAGGAGCCTGATCCGAGGCCCAACGGGTTCAGCTTGCAGCAGAGGCGATCGTAGGGGCTCCTGCAGCCGGTTCTGAAGTTCCAGAGTCCTGCCTGAAAATCCGGCCTTGCACGTTGCAGCTCTCACATCTGCAGCAATTTGCCGCTGCAAGCAAAAAGCTGCCGTAGCTCCACCCCTATTCATCCGCCCTCGCAAATCATGCCCGCCACCAAGTTCCTGAACTTGCTGGGCGAGACTTGGCGGAACTGCAGTTTGTGATTCGCATTGGCATGCCGCGACAGTTCTTTCACTTTCTCCATGCGATTTCGGACTTCATGTTACACTTCTGCATATCACTTGCTCATGCGTCTACTCTACCTGTCCGTTTCGCTGGGTTTTTGCACATTTGTCAGCTCCACTTTTGCTTGCGGAAGGGCTTGTTGCGTTTTTATGGTTTCGGCAACGTTTCGTGTTTTTGGCGTCTCGTCTTTGTGCTTGAGGTTGCAGGCTTACACTGATGCGCGTTCACCTGCACAAGCTAAGCAACCCAAGACATGAGTGAGCCAAAAACGATCCAAAGCACGTAGTCTCAACAAGTAGTTTCTGGAAGCCCAAAAATCCTGAATTAGCTTGTCGGGTGAACCGCAACATGCACCATACCGCGTGGCCAGCTCCACGACGCATAACGCATACCATGCATTTGGCCGATTTTGCGCCCCGGTTTGCATAGCACCTGAGGGCAAGGCTGTCAACGAGTTGACAGCCGCCGGCTGCGTGGGGCCAGCCTCAGGCTGCAGAGCGGGAGAGAGGGAGGGAGGGAGAGGGAGGGAGCAAGAGAGAGCAAGAGAGAGCAAGAGAGAGCAAGAGAGAGCAAGAGAGAGCAAGAGAGCGACAGAGAGAGAAAGAAAGAGAAAGATAGAGGGCGAGAGGCAGACAGAGGGAGCGAAAGAGAACTCCAGTACATTAGAGAATTCGCAAGTGAGCGAAAGGCAGAAGCCAAGATCGAAAAGGAAACACAGGACACGACAAACATATGCGGAGCAACAACTGGAATACGGACTCCAGAGCAACTAGAAGTACGTTTCAAGTTAAGTTAAGCGATCATTCTTCAAATGCCGTGCAAGCTGCAATGCATAGCCAGCAAGACAAAGCCTCTCATGTACGAGATCTTATAGAGGTTATTATGCGCATACTTGTTCATAAACGGTCTTGGGTTATGCGGGTTGTACATGAGCCAGGGAAGCAGCCGGGGAGGGGGGGGGAGCGAGGGCCTGCAGGTGCCAGCAAGCGGTTGACAGCTTCATACGGTCCGGAACTGCGGATGCAGCTTTTCCCCAGATGCCAAGGAGTTGGTAGCAGAGACTCAGCGGCCCATGGCTCTAACATGGGCGTCGTGCAGGAACGATAAGACCGCCCATGTTACCAAAAGAGTCCAAATCTTGGACCGACCCCCGTTCGATAGAAACGCCCATGTTACCATGCCAACCCAGTGGGTTTTGAACATCTGCGGACGCACGAAGAGAGCGTCTATGTCACCAAGTGCATTCGTCCATGCCGGCACGCAAACATGTCCAAGATAAGAGCGCACGTGTTACCCAAAACTTGCTGTGGCCTAGAGCCTAGAGCGTCCATGCTGGCACGACAGGAACTTCATGTTGTACCAAGCGCGTCCAGGAGCTTAGAGCGTCCCTGAACGCAAGCTGAAAAATGTCCATGTTGAACCAAGACCACCCAGTGGCGTAGGAGAGCACCCCTTCACACGAGGTAAGAGCGTCCATGCTGCACCAAACGCATCCATCAGTGGGCTAAGAGACGAGTCCTCCAACGATCGTGTGTCACGATCAGACCGAAATTGAAGCCATTATGCACATGATCAAAGCAAACATCAAGGAGTGCGAAAAAACTGAAGCCCATGCCTGCACGACGACACCGCCCATATTATTCCACGGCCGCGCAAGGAAACGCGCGGGCTTTTAAAATTATTGTTAGGGGGGCCCGTTCGCGGGCTCACTCATATTTAAAAGTACGAAGTGAATGGAATGAACGCACTAGTGAACGGAAGTAGTGAATTAGTGCAGTGAATTAGTGAACGAAGTAAAAGCCCAAAATCACACTGCATTTCACGCGCTTTCTTCTGTCGCTTGTACAATATTATTAAGGGGGCACGCACAAAAACCCCCATTAAAATAATATGAAAAGCGCGCGTCTTATTCACTCCTTGCCCTTTTTCATAGTATTTTAGCAGGTTTCTGGGCTTCTGGAGATGTAGAGGTGAATGATTTTATCCCTATCACACCTTGCTGCCTTTTTTGCACTGCTTTTGTTACAACTCATTGCCGGAAAAAGGTGTAGCACTGCACCTGAGCATTCGCACCTTACCAGCATACGCAATGTAGGAGCAGCTAGTTTACCGCCAATTTGTAGTTTTTGTTGGATGTAGTTTTTCGTCCTGCGCAGATTCTTTCGGGGTGCGCTTGACTGTGGTACTAGTAGTGGCCTTAGCGGGAATTGAAGCCTCGTTAGGGGTCAGGGCCATCCAGCAACACCGCTTCAGGGCTTTTTGGTAGGCGACCTCGTTGCTGGATGCTGTCTGGTAGTCGCCTTCTATGCCGCTGTAGTTTTTCAGTCCTGCGCAGCTTCTTTCGGGCAGCGCTTGACTGTGGTACTCGTAGTGGCCTTTGCGGGAATTGAACCTTCGTTCGGGGTCAGGGCCATCCAGCAACACCGCTCCAGGGTTTTTTTTGGTAGGCGACCTCGTTCCTGGATGCTTGTTCATAGGCGCCTCCTATGCCTGCTTGTTTTAATTTGTTTGGACGGATGTAGTTTTGTCAGTCCTGCGCAGCTTCTTTCAGGGGGCGCTTGACTGTGGTACTGGTTGTGGCCTTATCGGGAATTCGGGGTCAGGGTCACCCAGCAACACCACTCCAGGGTTTTTTTTGGTAGGCGACCTCGTTCCTGGATGCTTGTTCATAGGCGCCTCCTATGCCTGCTTGTTTTGATTTGTTCGTTTTGTCAGTCCTGCGCAGCTTCTTTCAGGGGGCGCTTGACTGTGGTACTGGTTGTGGCCTTATCGAGAAGAAGAAGAAGAAGGAGAAGAAGAAGAAGAAGAGGAAGAGAGAGAGAGAGAGAGAGAGAGAGACGGAGAGAATCAAGACAAGAACTGAGAGAGGGAGAGAGAAAGAGCAGAACGAACTGACGTGCCAGACCTCAACGACGAATACGTCAAGGCGGTTGTGGCGGGGAGCATCCCTGGCTCCAAAATCACCATCACGGTGGACGCCAGCACTGGAGACATCCAGGGCGCCCTCGTTTGGTCTGAGGCCCCAAACGAGGTGCAGATACACGTAGCCTGCAGCGCCCACTCGCTTGGCCTGGCCAGCGATGGCATGGCGGGGCTACGTGACCGGGTTTCCCGGAAGGGGGGTGGGCGGCTTACCCTCAAGCCCGTCTCCAGTATCGCGGCTTTAGCGCCTGCCTTGACCCCGGCGCTTGGGAGAAGTTGGTGCCTCCCAGGCCGCGAGCACGCCCCACGCCACCAATCCCGCCAAGCTCGGCGCTGCCATCCGCACGTCCACCACCGATGCCACAACACTCCGCGCTCCCCCCATGCGGGCCGCCACCGGTGGGTCCCCCCATTCACACCGCCAGCGCCAGCGCCCCAGCCCAAGCCCCCACCAATGTCCACACCGCCTGCGCCCATGGGCCCACCACCAGATGCACCGCCGCCACCACGAGAGGATCCACTTCATGGACATTTGCAGGCATTGCTCGGGGTGTAGGGTGTAGAGATTGGTAGAATGGAGAATGTAGGCATGGAGTTTGAGGGGAACTGGACAGGTGGTTCTTCGTCATTCGGCAGGCAAAAGCAATTTTGTGGCTGGGGGAGGGTAGCGACCGATACACGGTGTGTGGGTGTGTGTGTGTGGGTGGGTGGGTGAGTGGGTGGGTGTGTGGGTGTGTGGGTGTGTGGGAGTGTGGGAGTGTGGGTGTGTGGGTGTGTGGGTGTGTGGGCGTGTGGGCGTGTGGGCGTGTGGGTGTGTGGGTGTGTGGGTGTGTGGGGGTGTGTGGGTGGTGTGTGTGGTGTGTGTGGTGTGTGTGGTGTGTGTGGTGTGTGTGGTGTGTGTGGTGTGTGGTGTGTGGTGTGTGTGTGTGTGTGTGTGTGTGTGCGTGTGGTGCGTGTGTGTTGTTGTGTGTGTTGTGTGTGTGTGTGTGTGTGGTGTGTGTTTGTGTGTGTGTGTGTGGGCGTGTGTGTGTGTGTGTTGCGGTGTGTTGTGGTGTGTGTGTGTGTGTGGTGTGTGTGGTGGTGTGTGTGTGGGGTGCGTTGTGCGTGTGGGGTGCGTGTGCGTGTGTGCGTGCGTGCGTGCTGCCGTGCGTGCTGCGTGCTGCGTGTGTGGGTGTGCGTGCGTGGGTGTGTGTGTGTTGTGGGTGTGTGGTGTGGTGTGTGTGTGTGTGGTGTGTGGGTGTGTGTGTGTGTGTGTGTGTGTGTGTGTGGCGTGGTGCGTGTGCGTGTTGTGTGTTGGTGTGTGGTGTGTGTGGTGTGTGGTGTGTGTGTGTGGGTGTGTGTGTGTTGTGTGTGTGTGTGTGCGTGTGCGTGGTGGGGTGCGTGTGTGCGTGTGTGCGTGTGTGCGTGTGTGCGGGTGTGTGCGTGTGGTGCGTGTGGTGCGTGTGGTGCGTGTGGTGCGTGTGGTGCGTGTGGTGCGTGTGGTGCGTGTGGTGCGTGTGGTGCGTGTGGTGCGTGTGGTGGGTGTGGTGGGTGTGTGTGTGTGGGTGTGTGGGTGTGTGTGTGTGTCTCTCTGTGTGTCTCTCTGTGTGTCTCTCTGTGTGTGTGTGTGTTGGTGTGTGTTGGTGTGTGTTGGTGTGTGTTGGTGTGTGTTGGTGTGTGTTGGTGTGTGTTGGTGTGTGTTGGTGTGTGTTGGTGTGTGCTGGTGTGTGTTGGTGTGTGTTGGTGTGTGTTGGCGTGTGTTGGTGTGTGTTGGTGTGTGCTGGTGTGTGTTGGTGTGTGTTGGTGTGTGTTGGTGTGTGTTGGTGTGTGTGTGTGTGTGTTGGTGTGTGTTTTGGTGTG